TGTCTTTTCATTTCAGTCAATCCGACAATCCGATAACGCAATGCTTAATCTTCTGAGCTTGCAATATCAGCACCTTAGAGGAAGTTTCAGGCACTCCAGCGCGTTTGTTATAAGCAAACATTGTGCATTAGGCCTTCAAATTTCAAGCAGCATGTGATGAACCCAAGATTTCATTAGCCTCTCTGTACCGTCAAACTCGAAGCTGCCATGTTATTTCGCAACAAAGAGACGTTCTTTTACAATTTGTTAAGTAATTTCGAAAAATGTGATTATCGAGCAATCGCATTTTGTATTTAAATAGGTTTGACTGAGTGATTATACGAAAGGGCTTGATGAACAGGGCTTTATAAACGTTATGGTGGCACCCCTATCAAGGGGAGGTCATCGCCTAGGTGCTATTTTCGGCTTAGTGTCAGGTTGCGGCTCATTGGCACTGGACAGGTGTGTTACTGGAAAAGAGCTTTAAAGTCCATACTATCTACATTTCGTCGTGAACGATAATTTCATCACAACTGTGCAATGTTGCCAAAGTTTTCCGAATTCCATATAATTGGCAGCAATTTACAACGAATGGTTAAATGTCATCTTTTACATGATCTCTGGATCATGACGAAAGTTTTGCTGGCAAATCTCTGAATAATTCAAAAGACCGTCCTTCTATAAATTTCGGCATAAATAATCGATATTTCTATTTAAATGTTCTTATGAACTGATTTTTTTGAGCTCATGCGAGGTTGGTATAGCTGCCGTTCTTGTTGTCGTTGTCTTTGTTGTTGTTGTTGTTATTGCTGTTGTCGTTGTTGTTGTCGTTGGTCGATGGCTGACGTTTTGGCGAGCGATTTCGCCTTCCTCAGAACCGTGCTGTTACGAGTAGGACTCAGTCCTAAGATACAAGGAAAACTTGCACCCACCCCACATCAGCTCACCAAGATCTGCTCATGAGAACATTTAAATAAATATATCAACTATTTGTGTCGAGGTTTATAGAGTCCCACTCGTAGCAACACGACTCTGAGAAAGGCAAAATTGCCGATAAGTCAGCCACCGACCAACAGTAGCAACAAAAACAACCACAACAACAGTGACAACAACAACAACGACAAATATATCAAAGTCGCAAAGATCACTTCATAAGAACATATAAATAAACGTGACGAAAGTATTGAAGTGGGGCAAAGCAAGGTGAACAGACAGTTGAAGAGATTTTCTGTTAACATAAGAGAAGCCTAAGACATGTGCTAGTGGCTATTCTCCAAAGGCGAAATCAAGTCAGAAGAGAATGACTTATTGTATTCGCTGATTGGCATATTAGACAGCCATGAGAACAGTAGCAACAATACTAATTTGCCGTAGACATGCTATGGACAGGGTTTCATAGGATGAAATGAGATTTAATGACCCTTCTGCAACCTGATCTTTAAATTTTTCACACGAAAACCGTGCAAGATAAGTTTTAATTTGTTGGTTTTTTGTTTCTTATTTACACTTTTTCCACATCTGTCCATTCCGTTTTCGAATATCTCCATATAACGGGTAGTAATCTCCACGGAGATGTTAGTGTTAAGGGTTTATGATAGACAGCGCAAACAGAAGATGTCGCTCTAAAAGGTAAAAGTGAGAGGCATGTGTATGTCTATCAAATGAAAGCAAAAATGGTTATCGTTCGCTGTTCCATTCAACCACCTAAGCTTCGGCATCTACTGTTATAAGTTTGCTTTTGCTACTTAAGTTGAGCAGTGATGCATTATTTGGGAAAAGGATCAATTAACAACCAGTGAATTAATCAAAAATGTCTTCTCACAGTTTATTGTGTAAGAAATTATAGAGGAATGAGTTGAAGAGGCAGCGAATTGACCTTAGTGGAAATGGCGAGATCTCCCGCAGCGAAGGCGTTCTTGATTTGGTGGAGTACTTGTCATCAAGTAGCCTACGTAACCGTCATGCAAGCAGGCTGACTTTGATCTGACCGAAACACAAAGTAGTAGAAAACCACGAAGTGCTGGGAAAACATGGGAAATGTGATTTGCCATTTAGTGGTACCTTGCCTTCACCAAATAAGAATTTCTTTCCCATATTACCATATTCACCAAGATATGTTACCATCAACTGCAAATCATGGGCATTATCCTTGAGGCAATTCTCAGCTGGATCAACTGCTTCTTTGATCGGCCGCCGTTTGGTAATCTCCTTGCGGCAAATCCCACGTGTTCCTACGCCTTCTTAATAAGGCGTATATTTCCTGAGAATTTCATCAGTGACATCTCCATCTGTTTTTCAATCACATGCTTTTTGAACGTGGTGGTTAGTGTAAGGTGAAGAAAAACATTAGTAATTAAAAGAAAATTTTTGGTTACTCTATATTTATTTATAAGATCTTATAAACGGATTTCCTTAAGCTGACGCGAGGTTAGCACAGGTCTTCGTTATCGTTGTCGTTGTTTTTGATGTTGTTAGTCCCACCCGTAACATCACGACTCTGAGGAAGGCGAAGTCGCCGAAACGTCAGCCATCGACCAACAACATCAAAAAAACGACAACGATAACGAAGACCTGTACCAACCTCACGTCAGCTTAAGAAGATCAGTTTATAAGACCATATAAATAAATATATCAACTATCTATGCCGTGGTCTATAGAAAGTCGGTCTTTCGAGCTTTTTTGGTTAGTGATTGATAGAAAATTTTTGTAAGGATGAATTCTTGCTTAATAGTTGCTGGCTGTTATCCAGAGACAGGTGAGAGGGATTTGTTTTTCGCTTGACGCTCGCCTATTAGTCGGCACACCGGTAGAGACGGATTAGTCCAGACGGCTGATTGTTATCTACACCACCTGAATACGGTAGACAAACAAGTAATATGATGAATACTAATAATATTTGCAGTTACTGCTGTGCTTGCAACGCATGAGTGAAGTGAATACAAATTGCGGAAGTGTCGTTTCCGTTATTGCACAATTAAACTTGGAAAAGGTCGGATCTCCGGAACAGCGATGACGCAATCTGGCATCCTACACTATTACTTATCCTCTGTTGTGACAGAGCAACGGAGCGCGTCTCCCATTATTAAGTGCTTCACTTCATTAAAACTAGTACATTCCACTTTCGTCCAGCAACAGCAATATTTTGAGCTTTGAGCTTACAGTAATTAGGTCATTTCAAAACTGACTTGGTTGTGAGTTCGACTAGGAGCTACGTTGAGGAATTCTCATAAAATGTGTCATTAGCTTCAAATCTAAGGCACAAGCTCTACACTTGCACTTTCACACATCAGTGGTATGACCGCATTGTAAACAAATTGATTCCGAACAGTTGTGAGAACAAATAAATAGGCAACATTTTTGATTGACAGCAGTAAGTCCATCAGAGAAAGTACCCGCAGGGTACATCCCAGTTGGGTATTATTAATCACACTACTTCTCGACGACTTTTAAGCAGTGGCTGTCGTCTGTGCACGTATCCTCAAAGTCTGCATGTGAAATGATAATTTCAGTCTCCACATAAAAACAAGATATGCTGAAATAAGACAGCGCTATCCTCCGTTTAATAAAAAACAACACTTACTCAAGTGGCCTCTGATGAACTATAATTTTCATCAAGTTGAATTTAGACGATATTTCACTTTAAATCATCAAAGGCTAACATCAAGTTTACTCCTACTATCTTTTAAAAACATTATAAATTATCAGGAAATAAAGACATTCTTATAATGCGCCGTTAGTCTTTAATAACTTGAGAATGTTCGGGAAATGGCATATCTTTTGATTCTGCCTTATAACCAAATACAAGAAAGGTGAGCGAGCGCAGAGGTTGCTGAGCAGTGTCATCCCATGTTACTAAACGATCCAACCAATTCCCATCTCACCAGCCTTTTACAGATTGTTTTCTCATATTTCATTTGAGTATCTGTACATTTCTGCGCAGCCTGTAATGTCAGTGAACGTTAAATTAGTCATTAAATCTAAGTCACATCATGTTTTGGAAATAGTGAAAGTTAATCTGACCTAGTAACACTCATGAAAGAGAAACCGAATGCTAAAGCACTTTACAAAACTATGCTTGGTTGATCCCATCTTTTTTGAGCCCTGAAACATTTCCACTAAACCCTCTACCGTAGTGGTATATATGCATGGATGGGCGGGACACTGTCTCTAGGTTCCGCCTTCATTGGCGTGCTCAGCAGTTGTATATACTACTGTATGCTTGATAGAGATTTCTTTCCTTACCTTTTCTTACCTGCTAGTTAAGATTTCTCTACTCAATATAGCATTTTCGCCGGCTATGCTTAAATGCTGCTATTGAATACCTTTCCTTTAATCCTCATGGTATTTATATTCTTATAAGACAATCAACTGAAAGCATTTGCATTGTCCATTACGGATTACCGTTTAATGAATCTTGTATTGCTAAAAATCTTTTTAGAAAATTTTACACCTTCTTCTTCTTGGTGCACTCGTGATTTTTCCTCTTAGAAAAGTTGGTTGGAAAACGGAGGTTAGGCAGATATCACGAGTACATCGTTGTGGTTGTCGCTGCTTCGCGGCGTTATTTGCGATGAATTTCATCTCTCGCAGTTTTAATATCAAAGGATTAACCTTTATTGCTTATCCACGCATTATCAATGGCTTCCTCGCGTCTGAGACTCCCTAGAGTCAATACTGTTTTAGGAATGATACCAAGCACTCCGTTCCCTACCTACAATCCCTTTCCTTCATTCGTCCCTCAACCAACACTGCAGTACTCTCCATTTGTATTTTCGAATTCGATTTCTAATTCAACAGCCACGACATCTTCACGACACGTCGCTAGTCCAAACGTCTCTGGGTAAGAATTACATACATATAAGTGGGCGCGTACATACATGCATACATACATACACACATACGCACATACATACTTACATACATCCAAAGATACGCGTGTACACACACATGCACACACGCACACACAAACATACACGCTCAGCCTCTACAAAAAGTTCAATATTCTCATTGTTTGTTAAAAGACAATTTCTTCCATTTACAAAGCATGGCTACTTTTTGCATTAAAAATAACCTTTTTCAGTGACGCTACGCGTCGGAACGGCAGACGTGAGAGAACATCATTCAATAGAATACAGCTGGAGCATTTGGAGCGCGTTTTTCGTGAAACCCATTACCCGGATCTTTACAAAAGAGAGGAGGTAGCCAGAGCAATCAATTTACAAGAGGCCAGAGTCCAGGTGGTTGCATTGAAAAAATATTTGCGAAATGGTGGAATAAAGAAGTATTTTTTATATTAGTGCAAAAATCGTTTAAATGCTGTAGTTTTCAGAAGCGTTTTGTTTTTTTTCAGGTATGGTTCAAGAATAGACGTGCTAAGGATCGACAGTTAAAAAAGACACACCAGTTGCAAATTAGCCAGAGGGCAACATCTGGGTAATTCAGCATCATTATTACTTCCTTTGGTCAAATTTTTTTCCTAGATGTTTATTAAGAAGTTGAAGGTAGAATTCAACTAGGCTTTAGGTCTTCGTCTAATGAAAGCCCTCCACCTGAGCCAAAAGTTTCCGACTTGAAATTGTTGACCAACATTGCTGTTCCTGGCACTGCTGAATTTAATCAACGTAACGATTCAAAGTACGCCTCAGTTGGTGGAATGGGTCTAAAGATGGAAAAAGAAGAGCAAAAGTACGTCGAGAACAAGTTTCCCAGTGGTTCACCTCCTACATCTGCAGGTACGTCCCAGCTACAGATTATAAGAGATCTCAAAATGTTTTAGTTGGAAAGAGGCGAGCTATTTTAGCTTGGGCGTATCCTCTTCCCACTACCAGTTATTCCATCTACAACAATTTCTACGCCACACCTCCTAACTACTATCATCATTACGGATATACGTCAGATTATACGCCACAAAATCCGTCATATTGCGGACAACTGTGAAGGAATGACGATCTAGTAATACAGTGATCACGCCTTCATAGCTACCGTATTCCAACACTATTTTAAAAAAACAAAACCATTTATTTCTGGAACAATTCTTAACAGAACCAATATTTGCTAGGTGGTGGTCTATGGTTATGGTCTCAGGTCCATGATTCCTCTCGTTTTTCTAGTATCAATCTTTTATTATAGTAACACCTTTGTTGATTTCAAATTACTATTATGCGACGTAAACATGTAAATATGACTGTTTTGAATTTTTTCTCATACATTCTTTTACTAGGCTACGTCCAGTGTCATTATACAGCAGTCAGTGAAATTCCTAGATTGCAACTTGCTGTCTATCAGTTTTTTTCTCTAATTTTCTCCATGTTTCCCACACAATGAAGTAGTTATTACATATCGTATAGTTTTCTCATAAGCCATTCTTTGAATACCCGATGAAATTCTGAGACTATAAGAAGAAATTGGGGAAATGCGAAGAAGCGTTCTAGTGAGAGTGTTAGTCATTCCGCTAGCACTGACTTATAGAACTGGGTAGATAAAAAAATTTTCGATATTCTTTAGCACGACTTCCTGAGGTATTTCGGATTTCTCTTGGTGTTCGCTCTGTCCAGCTAAGCAAATAGAGAAGTTGATAGACGTGATGAAGGATGTGCGAACGTGGTCGCACTTGTTTGTCCCTTCGTTTTGCGTTCACCGCGAGGATTTGACGGCGTCAAAGTCGAACAGCATTGCGCAACCACTGCCCAGCATTCTGGCAACCAAATAAAGTACTTGAGAGACGACAAATATCCAAGAAGCGGTTAAGCGTGATCCGAGCGATATCGCTCGTGGAACACTTTTTGCTAAGCTTTTCTATCATTTTTGATTCCCGCCGTAGTCAGCCACATACACAAATACAGTAATGGTCATTTGATGAGCGATGGACAGCGAGTAAACTAGAGTTTGACTGAAGACTAGGTGTAAGCTTGACCAGCTTATAGTCATGACATACACATTTCACTAGTGTTCGACTAGATAATAATGGAATCCCAGTTTATACATATTGTAGAGTGAATTACCTTTTCCTGTTTGGACATGATAAAAGGTTTTCAAGCATGGGGCAAATAGCATGGGCTACTTTGCAGAACTTTACTGAATAATCTAAGTAGTACGGCATCCAGTTGCTGAAACCATAGATACGAGCAATTAACCTTACGAAATGAAGTTAAATGATAGAATGCGGAACAGTAACGATCAATCTGTGTCGCTATCTAGTGATCTTTTCAATCGAAAGCGGATTATCCTCCCTTTTGCGGATTTGCGGCACCTTTGCCATTGGAAGATTACGTGTAATCGACCGGATATGTCCTACTGTGGAGAACAATGCAGCTGCAAAGCACCCGTGCCCCTTGAATGAGTTCGCCATCAACCTTACAGGTATGCTCACTGATAGAACTATAAAAGCATGAGTTTAAAATCGAACACTTACGAAAAGATGATTAAACATTCAAGATCATAGATTCAATCAAACGTCACTCAGTAAGATTTTCTTAAAAAATGTTTCTTCGTAAGATTTCCTACTCTTTTGCTTAAAGCTAGTAGACTTTTATTTCTATACCGTACTTGCAAAACTAAATTGCGAAGAATCGGAAATTGCTGAACATAAATCACCTTAAGTCTTCGATAATGTGGTATCTTCGCGGTGAATGAACTGACATGGAATAATCTGTGTCTTTTATAGCAGGTTATAATTTTGACTTGTTTTATCACTTACTTTGAGTTTCAGGCTAATTCTAGTGCTCCAAACAAGCAACAATGATCGCCCATCTACTTTGCATGTGAAATACTTAGGTTTGTTTCATGATGAAGAAGAGGTTAACCATCTTACTTATACTTTCAGCTTCACTGAGTGATGTGCTGGCTCACTCAGCTGTCGTTACAGAGTCAAATTCACACACACACACTGCTTCTAGGCATGTGATGAGCTGTGATGAACCCTCACGCTTCTTTGCAAGAAAGCATTGATTTCGGATGAAAACATAGTAGAAGAAATCAAAAGACTCGTCAGATACGTTTTAATACTGCTTCTTGATACTAACTGAACAGCAAGAAGTTGTAATTGCGGCTCGTTTTTCTTGATTTTTGCTATTTCAATAGTCTGTAACCTTACACAAGTGACACCATCGAACATAACGTAGTCATTACGATTGTCTCCTCAAATGTCTAAGCGGTGTCACGCAATAGTGCCTGTGGTGAAATGTGAGTGTAAAGTATCACTGCAACTTGTTTATTCGCATTTTTTAAGCGCTTTGGTTGTGTGTAATACATGAGAAATTAAAAATGGCTGCTTTGAACATGATACAACCTTGAGTCGTCGTTGACAACGAGCACTTATGGCGGCATGATCAGAAGTCAGAACGACACTAAGAGAGAAGACAAACGAAGTGACAGGTCGTCCATACGTCATCGATATTGACTTCTATTATAGATGTGAGCATTGCTCGGGAAAGGAATATCGGAAAAGACGTTTGTTCAAGTTACTGACATTTCATTCATGACATTATATCAAAACGTTAACCAGTTCTATTACCGTTTACATCGTTCTTTACTCTTTGTGCGGAATTATGAAAAGGAATAAATCGTGCACTCATTTGTTGCAATGGAGATGACCGAAATAAAAGAAGATGAACGTCTGCCAAAGCCGTCATAGGAATACGCAGTTGTTTACAAGCTACACTATTGGCAATACAAACTTTCAGTGTTTGAGACCAGTCACATTTCCATCCAGTTATGCCTTTGAAGACTTTTTGATGAAGGACGCCAATTTTTTAACAAGAAGTTGTTTGATGTAAATTGTTGTTGCTCAGGAAAATACTACGTTTTTACAGACCATAGCATGAAAATGTTTTCGATTCAGAATTTCAACGGCGTCTTTCTAATCCTCGTGATGCTCGACCGATCCTGGAATCAAACCGAAGAGCCAGATCGGCCTTCTTTTTGCGCTCTCTTACCCATCTCTTAGTGATGGATACCGTATTGCCCAAAAGCATACCGACCCACTTGGCTAAGTGCTATAGAAAGCCGTATTTAAATAGGATTACCATCAGAAGTGTGATCACGGGATTCGTATTGTCTTTTTTGAATCCTTACACGATGCGAGCTGCAGGATTTCAATGTTGATATGTGCTCTAGTGTATGTTGATTCAGCATCTCCTAATAAAAATTAAACGCGTATTCAAAAGCAAACAAATGTGAAGAAAGAAACTAGATAAAGCGCTGTTGGAACTCGCGACCTGTGGATCACGAAAACTCACCTTCTCAGATTTCCCTTCTTTAACTGTTTTATTTCAATTGGGCAAAATGAACCCTAAAGTCAGCCATTAGAAAGTCACTGGTTTTCCAGATTCGTCAGTTTGAAAATCGATGTTTACACTTAAAAAGATAAGCGACTGAGACCCACCAAACTCTAGACGTTTGTTCATGCCTCTAGTGATCAGGTGAAAAACTTCCACACTTTATTACGTGCCTCGCATTCCTTCTAGATTAAGTAGAGGATTACATTTACAACTTGAAGTCGACTCGGTTTAGTCTTTCAAAACTTTTCAAACGTCATTATATCAAAATCGAAGTGCGAATACTTGCTATTTATATCACCGAGAGAAAAGTGGTAGATTTTACGATCTTAGTCGAGCTTGTTGCCTCGATCTACCAAATTCATGCTTAATTTTCCTATACAGGCAGTAAATACAATCTGTGGCACAAAATTCGAGACTGCTACCAATTGAAGTGCCTTCAGATATGAACGGATTGCTGAGGATGAATTCGAAACAACGATTGGCTACGTTTGAATGGCTCTCATTTCACTGAACGATACTCAATGTTGTACTTCTTCCTCATCCATCAATATGTGCGGCCACCGTTGTGTTCCCTACAAAACAGTCAGAATACAGTGAATTATTTGATCAGTGCCGAGGTCAATAGAAAACGGTTCTTCGGAATTACTTTAAATACATTTTATGCGATGCCCCACTTCAGAGAACACGCCTCAGTGCGACAACGATGACTTATATCTCTAAAACTCTGGAAACTCCACTGGAATCGTAGCGACTCCGAAGAAGGCGAATACGCCAAAGCGCTAGCTGCAGTAACGATTTTATATCAATCTCGTGAGAGCTAATGAATGCAGTGAAATAATCACAATATTGACAACTCTTGAGGAATGAATGTCGACTTCTTCAGACAGGTGGCATAGGAACATGAATATACATGAGAACGTAATCTTAACAAAAATTTTGCTTCGGAGATCCATCGTTTTTTGACATTTTGCCTTCCTCTCTAGTACGAAAGCTTAGCAAGTAATGAAATGAAGAACGCATTCGACAGAGGTGACTGAAAAAAACAGACCCTGAAGCATTCTTTGCATTCATTCATGAAGAGATGATTTCGGGAGAAATGGAAGGGGATATGGTTTCAACGCTCAGCAGTGATCGCGCGGCACATGCCTGACCAATTTGCAGGCAACGTTCAAGTGGCAGTCCGTTCACCAGGCCAGCAAGTATGCCGCTATTAAGGCTGAAATCGAAACCTTCGAACACAATGCCATCTTCATGTTAAATTCGAGAATCAAATGAAATACCACCTGTCACCAGCTCCTGACACGGAAACAACTCGTTGATGCTCAATAGCAGGTGGAAGATTTAATGGCGAGAGTGATCCATCTGTACGTCTGTTTAAATAGAATGAGCATGATATTAGCAATAGTTGGGCAATTATTATTGGGTTCGATGACTAGGTTGTATCGCAAATTCTTACTCATACCTTGTAACGACTGCTGTGCCATTTGAAGACAGTGTGACGATAAGCATGTCCAAATTGTACATTATTTGTGCATTTCCACATATAAACTCGCACACTTTGTGCGGTGAACTAAGCTCGTGTGCTACAAACATTGAACAGTTGTGTTTTTAGTGTTGTTACAACGCAATAGATGTACAGTAACTTACGCGTTATTCTGAGTCTGCTACGTTTTACCATGTCCATAAATTCGTTGGCATTCGGAGAGACTACTTGGATTTGATTCATACCCTCACAGTCGAAGATTTTTCGCATTTTAGAAATGGATGTTGGATCAAACCAAACTTCAGAAATGTAGATAATATTCCGTGATCCAATTTTAAAAAAGGGTAGTGGACGCACCTTTTCTATTATAGAATGCAGACAAGTCAAGAATCTTTCGAATGGTTTCAGTTGGAATGTTCCCGTCAAAGAATACGAAGTCAGCAGATGAAATGACGTTCTCATGTTTTGAAATCTGAAAAGCGTAGAGTTAATGAAAGCTACCACATAGTGCGAAGAAAACTTACAACATCGGGTGTAATTCTGTTCACGATATCTGAGTGAGAGCTAATTCCGAATAGTACTTCGCCTCCAATATTTATTGATGAATAGATAGCTGTTGAAGCATTGCTTACCAATAACACTCGTGATGAATTCTAAAAGTGGGTCGTTGTATTCTTGAAGTTAAACTGCAAGGCACAACACAATGTTAAGATTGATTCTGTGGAGATCTCGTTCTTCACTTTGGTGTACGATGGAGCATACATCAAACACAAGGCACCAATGTTTTCCTTAGAAAATTCTTTAAAAAGTAGCATGGCGGTAACCAACTGAAGGCACTTTGACAAGATTATTGAAATAATATGTAAACTTCCTCAAGGTTATGACATCTACGAGATGAGCCAGTGTGCTCGCTAGTGATGAACTTCTTAAAGGGCCGCTGTGGTTCCACTTTAACAAAACAGTGTTATTATAATTTCACGAGCAAGCAGTCTTCCAAACGTAAGTTTTAGGATAGCAATGAATAAAAAATCAACTCTTAACAAACTTACAATATGTGGACATTTGTTCAAAAAGTACTTCCCGTTATCGTCGTCTCCTATGGTCGAAATGAATGACACATCACAGCCCAACCTACAAAACCAGTCTCTCAGTATAAAGTGTCTTTGTGTTCAAAGTTCCTATTACTTAAAATCACGTGAATGGTCTTGATTGCCATTATTTTTTTTTGAGAAAAAAAAACCTAGAAACAGCTAATACGAGTTCGAATTGTTAAAGCCCGAGTGTATTAAACAGTTTTCTGATTGGAAAAGTTTGCAATTCCGTCAAGTAATTGTGGCTAGTACTTCAAATTCATAATTATTATTTAAGAGGACGGATAGCACAGTGGTAGTGATGTCCGTCATTACGAGCAAGGTGCCAGTTCGATTCCGCACGGGCGAACCAAACTTCTCATCTTTCCAGGATCGGGAAATTGGTGCTGGACTTTTCTGGGAAAAAAATCACTCTCTGCAGTAGAATTTGGAACGACCTCACCAGGGTTCGTAAGGAAGATGAAAAAATCCTCAAGTAGCAGCCAAAGCAACGCGTAAAAGTTGGAAGATCTTTGTGGATAATGAATGAGAGGAAACGAATCGAATGTGAGAAGTGCCGGGATCCGCACGATATGCGTGAAAACGGGTCATATAAACTAAAATAAAAAATGAAAAATAAAATCACTATTTTGCTAAGGTTTTTGTTATAGCTGTACAGGTAGAATTATGTCAACATACCGTGTGAGAGCATCAGCGTGATTTCTGCCCACTCCACCGCAGCGTTGTGCAACCCAGCCAGCGTACGTGCCTCCATCATTCTGGAATGATTCGGCGAAATATCGAATACAACTACCGCTTATGTCACATTCTCAAATGATTGTAACATTTCATTTCGACTTTTTGTCAACACTCACAATTGAAAATGGATACAAAGTTTTTAACGGTTTGTATATGCAGTAATCCTAGAAGATTTTAGGGGAAAAAAAACATCGCAAATCTGATCTCTCATTCTAAATATTTTGCTCCTGGATAGCACAAAGCATAATTCAAGATCTGTTGTCTTATTTCATAGTTTGAGCAGAATGGGAGAAAAGAATAACAGCAAACTCATTTTTTCAACCGCATGAGAAGCTTCTCTCCTGTAATATCTTCAATTTAGAAGCAAAAATGACATTCATCCTCGATGGAAGGCAGCTAAAAGAAGTTGCTCTGAAGAAGGCGATTCTGCCGAAACGTCAGCTACGATTGTGTTGTATATGTGTTATTGCATGGAAGTAAACGTATGCTGTTTAACAACCTCGCGATTGCTGAGAGGAAAAACGGCGGGTTCATAATCCGACGTCGAGGTTAATAGAAAGTCGATCCTGGGAACTATTCTTCCATAATTTATACAATGTTGTTCTTTCAAAAGTTTCTAAGTCGTCAGTTATTCCATTTCGGAATTTGGAGCGTAAGCTAAGTGTATTTAAGTTTCCATAATAGTGTTCTGATCACCTGGAGAACACTCGTGATAAGTTTGCTGGTGAAAAAGAACCAAGATATTTTTGAGAGTACAACTACGCTAACAAACCCCTCAATGGAGTAAATTGTGCTCTGTGTCTAGACGAAGTGTGTATGGACAAAAGAATAGAAAGTTTAGGGCTTAAGAATATTTACTGACTTCCTTGACAGGATGAAATTCTACATTTCTAACATATCAGCAGCGATTGTAGCTTCATAAAAATTATCCAAAGACGTTACATTTTTTTCTCTTTCCACTGCGTTATAAAAAAGCAGTTCAGTGATAAACTGGTGGAGGAAAACCCTGAACACACCTTAACGTCCTCATTAGTAATTGACTCGAAATCGATTATAGTGGCTCCGACTACGACCTGCACACGAGTGGATTTCGTCTCAATGAGAAAATTTCATTACTACCAGATAATACTAGCATACAATTTTTGCCTTCGATTTTTGTTCTGAATCCTTTCCATTATCTCGCACCACTCGAAAATTTTGACCCAATTTCGACTTTGACAGTAAACTTGCCAACTTTCCGGCTATTCTAGCATTGTTTTCCAAAAGGGCAATGTCTGAAAATGTAAAAACAGCTACTATTTAGCGCGATAGGTTTCTTTTCTAAACTCACTGAGCTTCACTGATGCTCCACAGGTCAGCTCATTTACACGCGACAGCAGAAATGGAGTGACTTCTTTAGACTGGATACCTTTTATTCTGTAAATGGTAGGATGATAAAGAGTAAGGATTGCTCGATAAAAATTTTTATAAAATTTTCCGTGTTTATCGTTTCAAGTAATATTTCCCATGGTGGCTCCTAGGTTCTGATTCCAACAATTGCATTGCCACGGGAACCCAGCAGACGGTAACATAAGTCTTAGAATAGACAACATTATTTTAAAACTCTCATAATGGTTTAATACTTCGATGACGATTCCTCCAGTGATCTGCATAGAATTCGAACACTATCTTACTCAGAAAGGATGCAGCGCACCTTAAAAAGTGGTCAATAGTAGCATAGAACCCAAAACAACATGTCGACAATATTGATCACTTCGCATGTTGTGAACAATCTAAAAACCGAAAAAAACTTACAATCAATGAGTCGACCAAGAGTTGCTAAGCGCCTTCCTTCATTGACAAGCTAACATGAGGTTGATAAAATAAGTTTTATTCCGCTAACGTTTCGACGCCTTCGTCTTCCTGACAGCCGGTGACTCGAGTCGATGTCCACACTTGTTCGCCTTCTCGATGTGAGGTCTTCGTCTTCGTATCGAGTCGGATTTTCTTCGGCGAAACACCATTTTAATAAGGCAGCCCCACCCAGCGATGCTGCTTTATACAGAACGGTTGCTGTTAATATGAATGGCCGGTGGTAACAACTTGTTTATTCCAAGCCGTCCATCCTGCAGAAGTCGGTATTATTATGTTTAACGTTTTGTTTTCTGCCTTCTATAATTTTCATGGCAGGTTACTAAACGAAATACAACCACAACGTTGCTGAAATATTTGCAAAACTCTGGACCGCAGGTGTCTATGGTGGGGAACGAACGCGCTATTATCCTTTCCGGGGAGTAAACAAAGGACCCGCATGGTGTGGTGGTGAACGCGTTACTCCCCGGAAAGGATAATAGCGCGTTCGTTCCCCACCATAGACACCTGCCGTCCAGAGTTTTGCAAATATCTCAGCAACGTTGTGGTTGTATTTCGCTTAGTAACCTGCCATGTAAATTATAGAAGGCAGAAAACAAAACGTTAAACATTGTGATTTCAACTACAGCCATAGCTTAACTGGGTTCTATGCCGATTTGCGCTCCCCAGATCAACCCCGCTGACGGGTGATTGCTGTGGCAAAAAGATCGATAGAAATAGCTGAGAGACGTGCGAAACAAAGGACCCGCATGGTGTGGTGGTGAACGCGTTACTCCCCGGAAAGGATAATAGCGCGTTCGTTCCCCACCATAGACACCTGCCGTCCAGAGTTTTGCAAATATCTCAGCAACGTTGTCGGTATTATTGTCCGCTAGCACAAACATAATCAGCTTTCAATGATGAACTAACACGAGGTTGATAAAATAAACTTTATTCGACCAAGGACTCGACGTCAAGTTAGCTGCAGTTCTCGATACTATTCTTGCCGTTAGCATAAGAATCTCTAAGCGCAGTAAAATCATCATTCTGCACTTCATTGAAATTGGAACTTCCATTTTGCTCTGCAGACTTGATAGTATCAGAATATCCATTTTCACTCTTTTCAAGTAGTCAAAACTAGTAGTTTGTAGGCTTCTCAAAAGAGTCAGGAAACATAGGTGTCAATAACATTGTTCAAAATACAACCACCAATAACATTATTTGAAATACAACCATCAAAAATTTGGCTTAAGGGTAGTGGCGGCTTCGAATCCAGGCTGAGGTATAAATTTTGAAATATCACACCATCGTTGTGGTTGTATTTCAGTGCCATGAAAAAATAGTAAGCAGTAAATAACAAGTTATACATCAATAACACTGCTGAGCACTATGTTTCATTTTCAAGCAGCCGTGTTAGGCCGTAGCTATAGGTGTCCTGTATGCACTGGCCCACCAATGGCTGGTTCGATTTTGCACTCGCACTCACAAAGCCTTCCATCTTTCCGAGGTCGGAAAGTTTATATCAGACTTCTTTGCGAGAATAAAAACAATGACTTGGTACATCGGTAGGCTACCCAGCGAAACCAGTGCTGTAGGTCCGAATATGTATTAAATCACGTCTATGATGTATGACGAAATCGATTGCATGGCACGCTTCTTAGGGATTGCCCAAGACTGAGAGCATTATTGCTCTTTCCTTATGTTTCACCTTAACTTGCCTAAACACCGAACTGTTTTCATGGCTAATTGTGCTCACACTGGCACGCTTTCAATGTGACTGTTATGGTGATGGTTTCGCAAAACTTTTTTGAAATGTCACTAAAATAGTGGACGGCTACTTCTTAGTTGTCAAAACAAGCATTCTTTGACCACTACCGATAGAGGAGAAATTTGCATCCTGCGATCAGGTTTCTCCCAATACAATAGTGACTTTTTCGAAACCGACTTTCCTTTAACCTCGGTGTGACTGATCAATATGTTTCCTTCTTTGGTGAGCTTATACGAAGTTGACAGATATATTTATCTTCGACTAACGTCGTCGTCTTCATCAGAGCCGATGATCCGAGTGGATGGTCCATGTTTGTTATTCGTCTCGAAGTGGCGGCTTCGCCTTCCTGTCGAGTCAGGTCTTCCTCAGCTGGCCATCTCCTCAAATGAGGCATACGCACTCGGTGATACGCTTTTATGCAGGATGCTGACGGTGGATGTAATGATTGTCCGGTGACAATAACTTAGTCTTTTCCAGACAATCCATAATGTAGAAGTCGGTGTTATTATCATCTATCATTCATCAGAGCCGGAGACAAAAATGTTGAAACGCTAGCCAAAAATAAATATGTTTATCAACCTCGTTTAAGCTCATCAAGGAAAGAAACAATAGCGACTGCTGTGATTAACTTATTATTATTTACAAAGTTACTCTGATAAGCAGTCTCGACTCGTCGTGCGGAACCCAAGACTTCTTCCATTCGTTCCGTTGTCTTTTAGCTGTCGCCATGGAAATAACTTATGTATTCTTCGGCCGCTACTTCAGGAACTGTTATCTTCTTTCCTCAATGACATAAGAGGCAGGTAGAGCATAATTCTTCTTGGAATCTATGGCAACTGTACTAGAGCGTTCCAAAGAAAGTTATTCACTGCTCTATGTAGGTTGGTAAAGGGGCGTGTGGCGCAGTGGTCGAAGGCGCCCTGCAACACACACGTGGAATCGACTCCGCGCCCATGGCCCACCAAGCTTTCCATCCTTCCAGAGTCGGCAAATTGGTACCAAGCTTTGCTGGCAGGATAGCAGCTCTGGATCGATGCATCGCTAGGGCACCGCGAATCATTGTAAAGGCCATTCAATAATCTCGAAACGATGCTTAATGAAGTCGAATTCATGGTGCATCCCTTAGAGATTGTTCAACGCCGTGAGCTTTATCCTTTTTGTCTTTATGTAGATTGGAGACAGTTTTTCTGTTTCGCGATTAGGTTTCTTCTACGGTGACGAGTCCTGTGGTGGACGTGACCCCTTACACTAGGCAACCGACCTGTCGAGGTGTTACACGAGAATGAGTCATACTTTCTGATAGACGGATTGAACACCTTCGTCGCTTGTGTTAACCTTCTGAGGGATAAGTGACGATTTATTTCAGTCCTACGATGAAAACGTGGTGAATTATTGGAGAAACTTAATTGTTATATAAGAAAAATTCTAAAGCACAAGGAAGAGCAAAATTTAAAGTGTCGTTAAAAAATTCTGTGGCAAATTAAGTCTAAGCATTCACTACGCTGCGAAAACTATCTGTTTAGAAGGCTAGAAAAAATCTCCTTAGTAACATAAGGCGGTGTAAAAAGCAATGAAAGGTAAACATCCGAGTTGGAGATTGTAGTTTCTTGCATTATATCTACAATACTACAGCCGCTTCCTCTGACACACCTATGTTCATGCCTTGCTAAAAACAGATCACCTATCGCATCATGTTTAACACGACCGCTGCAATGTAAACTAGGAATAAAGAATAAATGGCAAGGCATTAGGAGTTGAACTATCCTCTGAGAGATGCGCCATGCATTAGACCTCAACAAGTTTTGCAGAGGTGTTTGAATACCTATCTGCCCTATATAACGACTTGCGGTGGTCTGCCGATCGATGAAGCAAGTGGTTTTACCTTCCAAGACAAGTCTGGCACCAACTTGCCGACCACGGAATTTTGTTGGAAGACTTGGTGAGCACGAAGCGTGGGATGGAGACAATGATCGATTAAGTTCCTACGGCAAGGGACCTCTAAGTACTTCGCTACACAGGTCGTTAAACAGGAGACAATTAAAGGAAGCTGCGCTAGTCAAAGTAAGAAGCGATCTTCGTCGTCGGTAGGAAATAGATCTTTTTCACGAAATTTTGGTGGCATAGAATTTCTCGTATATTTATCTGTTGTCATGTGGATGTGGACTCAAAGCAAATTCTAGTGCTTCACTTGGCCAGGCTTCGTCAGTAAATTCAGCGTTAAAAAAGATCAGTGCTATGAACTGCTCCTCACGATGTTGTGCAAACGATGAGAGTGAATTAAGAGCGTTCCGTTATCAGATGGAGAAACTGATGTGCAACGAGAACTCTTTCTACGAAATTACTGTCAGAGATTTCAATACCGGATTATCAAGAGACAGTTGAAGAGAGTAACGTGAGAACAACAACAGTCTTAATAGAATGTAATCACTTCCTATTTGCTGCCTATTGCCCTTCATAGCAGGGTATGGTGTGAATTATAAGCACAGTAGTGCTGAGATATTTGTAAAACTCCGGACCACAGGCGTCTGTGGTGGGCATCAAGCACACTAATACTCTTTCCGGGGGCTAACATGTTCACCACCACACCATGCAGATCTTCATCTAACAGTGCCATCAGCAATCACCGGGATTACTCCGGTGAGCACAAATCGGTATTGAATCTAGTTAAGCTAAACCTGTAGTATAAGTCACAATTCAATCACTTTTTGTTTACTGCCTATACGTTTCATGGCATGATATGATGTGAATTATAACCACTATACACCTGCAGATACCCGCGGTCCTGAGTTTTGCAAGCATCTCAGAAGTATTCAGGCTATAGTCTTAACATACTCCTGTAAATAGCACACCTTTTCCATGAAAACTTATTTTTGCAAAACAGAATCGCCGCTGGGCGAGGGTGCTTCCAACGCCATGATTCATGGAAGTATCGATCATCTTTATGAACGGAAAATATTTATTCCTGAACACTTCGCTTTACCATTATTCTGCACTGAATTTAATCACCGTCCGTTCTTTAATTTTGTTAAAATTCAATTCGATTAAAGTTCCCAATCCTCATCTCCCTTCAGTGCCCAAAACGAAGTGTACAGTAATAACATCCTCAATGTTTCTGACGACATCCTTGTAGCCTAGAAAATGTAAGCAGAAAAAAACAGAAAAACGTTTTAGAAAACTTGCATGTACTCTACAGAGCACAACCTCTTCTACAAGCTTGTAAAGTTATCAACTCCTGCACTATTGTACTAATGGAGGAATTGCCATGTTTTCAAGATCTTCCCTTTATCGCATAAGGGCTGGAAAGTATCGAAACTGGAAGAAGTGCTTCAACCGATTTTTTTCACTACAGCATGTCTCAATGGAAGCAGAGGAAACAGTGCAATTGTTGAAACAGCGGCTATTTCGCCTTTTTTCAGTAAGACAAAGTTCTCCTCTTTCACTACAAGAAACGGCTTTCCTAGACAGAAAAAATAAGCAAAAATATAATTCTTACCAACTTACCTGGCTTCATTTAGTGCCATCTGTACTGCAGCCTCAATGGCGTTCCCATCGTCTTCCATTTCTTTCGGAATAGGGCATGCAAGAATCATCCCCGCATTTAAACCCAATGCTTTTGATGTTTCTGCAATTAGTCAATCAGTGATTGTAATTCTGATCCGTCACACAAAAAACAAGTACCAATATGTTCAACCACTTCTGCGAGATTTTCCGTGTTGAACTGCCCTTTCGCATGGGATTCTCTACTGAAAAACCCAGGAAACACATTACGTTCTCCAAAAACTATGCAATTGACCGAATGTGTTTCCTGAAAAATACAAAGCTATCATCCTTTTCCTTGCTTATAGTAATGAAAACTAACGACACAGATTGCCATATGGTCTTACTAAAAACTCGACGGTTTTCGAGATATCCAGGATGCTCTTCACACCGGCACAAACGACAGTTAGTGGTGTATGTGACAGTTCTAATAGGTCAGCAGAAACGTCGAATGCTGTAAAAACGAAAAAAGACTTCACCGTTGAATAAAACACAGCTTAATTTCTAAAAGTGAGTAGATAGAATAACATTAGTTTAAATGTATGACTACTCTAAATTCTAAAACTTTCACTTTGTTCAGCTCCTCTGTGCACACCACCGATGCCACCTGTAGCAAAAACTCGAATACCAGCGATATTTGCAAGGAACATCGTCGCTGCAACTGTGGTCCCTCCAACCACACCCTTAAACAAGGAAAAGTAAAAGGTTGATTGTATGCTTCGCCAATGCTACTTGTTTTTAAAAAACCTTATAAGGACTTAGGAAGAATGCTAATCACCAGCATTTTCTACCTACTGCTGTTATGCCCTTCAAACGTTTACCGTCTCCTCGTAGCTAGGATTGCTTCTGGAAATCGGATTGAGATGTACAGAGGAGCATATACCAAGCAGCGTCTCTCAAACTGAGAAGGAGCCTGGCACTTTCATACGGAAACCCAGCTAATAACGATTGAATACCAATAGTATGAATCACCGCCGTACTGCTATCGAATTGGTTGCAAGGTGGTAAATCTTTACCTAATCCACAAACGCCAGCGTCTGCTCGTAGTGGTGACGATCTGAATAAGGCTTTGGCTAAACTAATCTCTGGACTCTAAAGAATGACGATGGTTCAACTGGCAAAACTGCAACCGTAATACCCTGCACACCGGCGCTCTTGTCTACGACGTCGGACGACGACAGGACCGGTTGGAGGTGATCAATTCCTGGTTTACACAGGATATCATTGGAAATGAGCAATAGAAGCACATCCGTACCCAGACACCACTAAAATTGCTTCTTGCCCTGCACCTATAACACTAAGACAGTACTTTATGCTGTCGACGCTTACTCTTTTGAAGACGATTGCCGCATCATGCTCCACGTTATCGCCGTACAAAAGAGGAAAAGCATGAAGACCGATATGCACCAACCAGTTGACGGAATCCTTGATCTCCGTCGGAAAAACTTTTCGCAGCGAAATGTCGGATGTGTTTGATTTGTCTTACACTCATCTATCTGATCTCATCTTGATACATACGAAAACTCTTTCCATAAAATCGTCATTGGAGACTTCAATACCAGAAAAAATTGTAAGGTTTTCCACACGTAGCAGAATGTCTTCTATAGAATAACATGTGAGAGCCGATTCATTTTCGAAGGTGGGAGAGAGTCACCGATGGACATGGGAGTATCCGAGCGACAAGAGACGTGCGGGGACCAACCACTTCTTCACCAACAAAAAGAGTATTCCCTTTGACACTTCAGTGACACCTGAACTCTGTACTGGATCATATCAACACCTTTCGCGTGCGAGGATTCGATCTAGTTGTAACCTGTAAAAGAACTTCTGTCATCAGCAAGAAAAAAGCAAACAAGTCGTGTAAGACTAGGATGTTCTCAATAAAATTCTTTCCTTATATGAGTAGCAGATAAAGGAAGATTTAGCCGAAGAGTACTGGCCGTTTGTGGAAGGATTTAGAGCTTGCGTCGAACTCGCCTCAATTCCTCAAATAATAAATTCAGAGCATATCTGCATTATTAATAAGTTGCTTCGAAAAGAAAGAAAGCTGGAGATTAGTTCCACTGCAACACATCTTGCAATGCTGACAATAAATATCAGCTGCAGAACATTATTACGGAAGGATTTGCATCGGCATGCGAAGAAAACGTTACTGGAGCCAGCTCAAAAACGATCCAACCTGAAGAAATATCAGTGGGATCTTTGCTACCACAATGTTTCGCTATCCACCTAATAAACGAAAATGGGACTATCACTACTTCTCATTACGATATAGGATTGTTAACGAAAATGTTCTATAGCAATCTTTTGGGCTCCATAACCATCGGCCCGTTCCACGAAATACCCGGTGAAGAAAAGCCACCAAGGACATTACTCTCTGAAGTTCGAGTTGGAAAGGAAGTATAAAGAGATGCACAACTTTAGAACCCGATAATACCAACGCCAATTTCTGCAGAGCTTGTCACTATTCATTACATGTACTTCTGTTCACATAACATTTTACCTTCAAAAAGAGAAAATCCCAGACTAGTGAAGGACCTCGCGCATGGTCATCATACTTAAGGGTGACTGAAGGAATCTTCCTAAATATCGTCCAACATGCTTCTGAGTGTACTTTACAAGCTGTTAATAAAGATTGTCCTATCTTACCAAAACTTTTGGATGGGGCAAAATAAGCTGAGCAAGAAAGATTCTAACAGGGACTCCTCTTTATGGACCACATGGAAATCGTATCATTGGTTATAGAAGTTACCCAAGAGTCGCATCTGGCCTTTATTGACTACGGGAAGACGTTTGCCACCATCGAAACGAATGCAATCCTATTAGCGCTTATCGACCAAATTTAGTACCGGACTGCAGTGGGTAATGAAGTCGCTCGATTGCGACAAGAAAGGGCTACGTGTTGATTGGAAATTTGTATCCGATCTCTACTTGTCCGACATCGTCGTACTTTCAAGAAATGCAGTGGAAATGGAGGAAATGGTCATTGAGCTTAACGAACGGAAGAAAAGATCAGGCCAAATATAGTTTGGAAGGAAACACAGTCCATGAAAAACAACCAGTGCGAAGGCAAACAAATCAAACTGGATGGCTCAGTGATTACATAGACCACTTCGTAAGTATACCTTGGACGTTCAGTGAACATGGAGCACAACATGAACGAAGAATTACGTAGGAGAATGAGAGCTACACGGGCTTCACTTTGGCTACTCAAGAAGACCACCAACCAACTATCGGGTTCAACACTAGTGTTCATCTTTTTGAGTCAACGGTTCTCCCAGCACTCTATTATTCGCAGGAGCAAGAGGTTCAACTTCAACCACCTCGAGAAATCTGTGCGCCACCCACTGAACGCTTGAATGAGGTCTTCCGAAATTTTAGCGGCACTTAGAGCTTTTATCTGGGATACTCAGTTCAGATCTTCGAAACCTATCTCATCTTTAGGATCCTCGGAGAATATGTTCTGAAACAGAGATGGGGCTGTCACATAGTAAGAAGAAGAGATGACGGGTGTGCGAAAAAGTAGGGTGGTCTTCTTTTGGAAGACCTCGGGCAAGAAAGGAACGAATGGAAATTGTGGGACCAGCGCTTCCAGTAAAGTGGAGCCAACTAAGAAAGTATTACGCAATTAAAATAAGTTTGAAACAGATGAGTTCCATTTCCGAACACACGCGTTCTAACAGCATTGTTTATAATTACCTATAATATCGAGGAACTTGGCAGGATAATTACATAATAATCTCATCTTTCTAGCCGAATCTACATTTAAGCGAAGTCTAAATAATACTTATAGTAGGAAACGAGAGAAAAAAAGAGAGGCAGAAGATTGACTATCTATGAAGCTTCTATAAGTGAACAAGTATGAATTAGCCGAGTGAATAGACAAATTTATATATATATATATATATATATACATATATATATAGAAATTAATGTTTAAAGGAAGTGGATAACTTTTTGAGTTCAATTCTCTTGGTGGTAACCTTGTATTAGTTTAGAAAACTTTTCCACTGCTTGTGGTATTCTTCGAAATCAATGCATGCTTTCCAAAGTGTTCCAGAACAGCTTTCTTGTTTCTGCCTTTTACTTGTTCAACTCTTAACGTGTTCTCTAAGAAAGTTCGATATTCTTTCAGTTCTTATATATCCTCTATATTTAAAACGTTTGAATGATTATTGGAGTTCATGCCCGACCTGGCCTGTTCAAATGGTTTTGTTTCACCTGACGATGCTATGCTTAGACCTAAACATGAAAAGCTGCTAGCTCATCACCATTTCGCGAACAATACGAGCCATGAAAGACAAGGCAAGCTGTGCAAAATCAGTACATACAAAAACTTTCAATAGAAATCCTAAAAGTCTGTAGAACTGATTTTGACGAATTCCCTACACCGTCAATAGGTAGAGTGGCATTCCTCTACCATATCCTACATGAAGAGGTAAAGTACAGGATTAGGTTGATCAAACTGTGCATTATAGCAGGCTAAACATTAGTCAAGTCGAAAAACAGAATTCATGAAATGGCGAAGCAGCCGATTTGGTGGTGATCAAAATTGTTGACACTTTGTTGGAAGAAGAAAAGTCTGTACACCTGCAGGCTTTTCTTCTTCCAACAAGAGTGACTCCTTGGCCAGCCGAAAATTCAAGAGCCACTTTTTACTGAAAAAATAACGGAGTAAGAATGGGAAGGATTTACCATATGGCTCATAGAGGAAAATCTCAAAAAAAAAGACAGTATAACCCACAGCAGAATCGAAGCAGTATAATGGCCAGAAAGTGGAACAGTAAAAATTATTATGATGTCCACAAAACAGTCCAAACCGCTGTGCCAATTATGAAGAAGGCCAGTTACCGAAAGCTACAGGCATTCCGCACGAAGAAGGAACAGGAGCTGAGAACAGGAGGTATTTCTACGAAATCACGGTGGAAAACGCTCACTTTCTGCACGCAGATCCCTTCCATTGACTAATAGTTTTGTTCGACAATGCACCACACTTTCATCTGTTTCTTACCTCGTCAGTGATCACCACATTGAGGAGAGGCGTCCTTTAAGTGCCGAACGTGGATTTACGAGAACAAAGAAGATATGTTAGCTCTCTCATGAGGTAAAGTCTCCATATTACCATATTTGTATTGCAATAGGATGAATAACGGAACTTGTACAAATAAGAGAACATTGTAAAAAGTTTTAACTTTTACAAGTTATGATTTGTCTACAACATTTTTTCTTGTACAAAACGCGTGTGGTGGCGAAGCTATCGAATGAATACAAAAGGTACCCCAAAATACTCTGTCAGAAACAAGAAATGAATAAAATGCATTAAAATCAATAGCGCTGTCTTCATGTTAAACTTTAATCGAAATTTGGCAAAAAACAGTGTCCTTATTCAATAACTGAAACGATTCAGAACAAGTTTCGTCCGTCTTACTTTGTCCCTATAAACCTATCCCAATTTATCCTGAAGTGCCGTAGGGTACCAACTTACTATTTCTGAAATTCTCATTATCAAAGTGATACACAGTCCGCATCGTCCATATTCTCACCGAAGTGAATGATCTGGAAAACAATCAACGCCTTTCAAAATTATTTCGCCTTTTAAAGTCTCTTCCACAATTCTCTCATGCTCACACCCGCTTAAGTCTTCAGCTGC